AGGCTCAAGCATAGCAGAAGTAGCTGCTGAAAGAATTACTCAGGCACAATATATCACATGCATGAAGAGGCCACGTCAGGAAAACACAAGGAGGAAACTGTCCATAAGGAGACTGCAGAAAGCCAAGGGAATGAAGCTGATGAAACATTAGTCGACCCATCCCCCAACAGTGTGGCACCACTGGAAGGAAAGCAACATCAGGAAATTTGGATGTCAACTAGGAAAAGGAAGCTCCCAGAAAAGCTAATAAAGATTTCTTATAGATAAGAATAGTACTGGTACTCTCAAGAATACTAATGAAATAAGTGCAACCATCCAATTATTACATCAAAATATTCAAAGTCTAAACAACAAGAAGCTGAATATAGATGTGCTATTATTAAACAAAACCTTAGAATCGGATATACTCTGTATCACTGAACATTGGTTGGATGAAAGAGAAATAGGAATAGTTTTCAAAGTTATAATAATAACTTTGAAAACTATTCCTTGATATCAAAATTCTGTAGGAAAAATAAATTGCTTGGAGGTTCATGCATTTATTTTAAAACAAATCTAGATGCAAAACCCTGTAACTGTTTGGAAGCTTAAATCAAGAAGAACACTCTGAGGCTAGCATAATTGAACTTATACAATTTAATACTATAATAATCTGTATATATAGAACTCCTAATAGCAATATCAACATACTCATATTTATAAAAAACTTGGACACAATACTTAGCCATCTGGCCAATAAAGGAAAGAACATTATTATAGCAGGAGATCTCAATGTAGATTTTCTAAAAAGAAGCATTAATCCACAACTACAGACAATGCTAGACTCATATGGCTTGCAAGCAATAGTTGATATCCCAACAAGAATAGGACCTAAAAGCAAAACAGCCATAGACCAAATAATACTAAAGAAGGGCTTATGGGAATACAAATTTAAAGCAGCGGAAACAGGGCTCTCTGACCATAATGCCCAAATACTACAAGCACAAATGCATTATAAGAACAAAAAAGGACAAGGTAGAATAACTAAAGAGTTCAGATTAGCTAGATCTTATAGCAAGGAAAACGTACAATATCTAAACTATTTACTAGGAAAGGAGACCTGGGAGCATGTTCTTAAACAAAATGAGGCAAATGATGTATACAATGAATTTTTAGGCATCCTCTTCATAGCTTAATGAAGGAAGGAAACACATCTGAAGAACTTAAAAAATACTATAAGCAGTACAAAACATATACAACAGAATTGTCAGTGAGGCTAAAAAATTAAGCAACAACATGCAAATATGATCATCCGGGAACAAATCAAAAGCTATGTGGGATTTAATCAAAGAAGAATTAGGCAGTCAGAAAAAAGTTGCGAAGAACATTGAATTAGGAGTGAATGGAACAACTATACAGGATCAAGAAGTTATAGCCAATGTTTTTAATGAATACTACACTAACACTGCCCAGCACATCCGGAGTAACAATCCGACAGCACAAAACAATGAAGACAGGATCAACACAATAAAATACAACAGCAATAGCATGCTCTTAACCCCAACCACTGAAAGGGAGGTGGTAGACATAATTAAAACACTGGGTAACAAAAAATCAATGGGCATTGACGATATTCCAGAGTTCATTATTAAAAAATGTCATCCTCAACTAGTAAATGCTCTGACATTCATAATAAATCTGTCATTTTCATCTGGTTATTTCCCCGACCAACTAAAAATAGCAAAAGTGAAACCCTTGTATAAGAAAGGTTGTACTGCAGATGTTGGGAACTACAGGCCAGCATCATTAATTTCGGTTTTTTCTAAAATAATCGAAAAAATTATGCACAATAGACTTTTATCATTCATAAATAAGTACAGCATAATCAACAATAAACAACCTGGATTCTGCAAAGGAAAATCAACTCATACAGCAATCACAGAATTTACAAAAAGGGTTTACAAAACACTAGATGAAAAAGAAACGCGTATAGGGATATTTTTGGATTTATCAAAAGCGTTTGACCTAGTAAATCATGATATATTGCTAAGTAAGATGGAAAGAATGGGAATACAGGGGGTTACACTAAGTTGGTTCCAAACATACTTAGAAAACAGAGAACAAGCGGTAGAAATTACATACAGATGCAAAAAAAACTAATCGTAACATTAATTACCTATCCCGAAAGAGACCCATCAGCTATGGCGTCCCACAAGGTTCCGTTCTGGGACCAGTGTTGTTTCTGTTATATATAAACGACCTGGAGGCCAGCATAGAACATGGGAAACCTACGTTCTTTGCTGATGATACTAGCATTTTTATAGCAGGAAATAGCACTAACGAAATTCAAAGGAAAACAAATGAAACAATATACAAAATCACATAGTGGTTTGAGAGGAATCGATTAACTATTAATAAAGATAAAACAATAACAATAGCCTTTCATCATCCTCAAAAACTACAACTTGAATACCCTCCAATAAAGATTTATGACACTGTAATCAACTACACAGATCACTCAAAATTTCTGGGAGTCTGGCTAGATAAGCATCTAAGATGGACTATGCATATGCAAAAGCTAGCAAACAACTTATGTAAAGTATGTTTTGGTCTAAGGGTAGTTAGAGGAGTGCCTGGACTAGAGACTGTCCGCACATTATATTATGCTCATTTCCAATCTTTGTTATCATATGGACTGATATTTTGTGGCAACTCGGTAAATGCAAAATTGATCTTTAAATTACAGAAGAGAGATATAAGAGCTATGACCCAGATCCCAAAAACGACTAGTTGTAAACAAATTTTCAAATCATTACGTATATTACCTCTACCATCTTTGTACATATGCGAAAATCTAATATACATAAAATCCAATTCGAAAGATTTCACAACCAACTCAGGATTACACTCATACAACACGAAGAAAAAAGACGACTTGCACATTGTCCCATGTAATACAAGCCTATGCAAGAACAACTTTAACAATATATGACTTCAACTGCTAAATCATCTGCCACAATATATTAAAGAAATACCAGTACTATATAAGTTCAAAAACGCTTTGAAAACTTACCTACTCGATCATTGTTTTTATAAAGTGGACGAGTTTCTCTCGTGTGAGACAAACACTAATCAATTATGATCACATAATTCATGAATAATCGGTTCTGGGAATCCCTACTGCGCAGTTTTCCTTTCTTTCTTCCAGCAACCAAGATAACACAGTCGGAGATGTACCTGAATGGGCTACTCTGGAGAGATTGCAGATACCAAGAAGCTGCACCAGGAAGGGAGAACAGATGTAATGAGATGTTGCAGTGTAGAGTCTATAGTGAAACGTTATACCAGTGCTATCACCAAATTCACCATATTATTTCAAAGGCCATGCCATAGTTTAAGCGGTTAGTTGCCGGCTTCCCTCCGCTGCGGTCTATTCAAATGGGACTTGTGATGGACAAAGCGGCACTGGAGCAGGTTTTCCCCGAGTACTTCGGTTTCCCCCGTCAATCCTCATTCCATCAAATTTTCTATAAGCATTATTGCCAGTACAGGTATAATAGGACATATGGAAGCTGACATGCCGAGGGGGCCTAATATGGATTCCACCTCACACTATATGAACTCTTAAGTATTGTAATCTACTGTAATGTATTGTAAACAATTGTAAGTATTGTAACTTTATTCTCTTATTGTAATCAGCCAACGTACAGTAATTGACTTGTCCTATATCATGCAACAGTGATCTATAGAGATGAAATAAAAATAATACTACTAATAATCAATATTAATACCACCCATGTTCTTGAAAGTGAAATTGTGTGAAGAGTGAGTATCATCCATGTCCACTAAATTTTAATTTTAAGCAAATCTGTGCAGAAATGGTATGTGCTTGTGTGAAAGTAATACTTGGTCATACTAAGACAAAAGGAATTACACTTTCTACTTTCTGTTTTATAGTTTTGGTTCATACTGAGGTGTTTCACATTGTATAACAATTAAGACATTTCGGGGGAAGAGTTGCTTGCACAGCATGATATTATATGTTAATCAGGAATGAACAGTTGGAAGTCCCAGACTGCACTGAGTAAATATTATAAATAAAAATTTGTAATATCATCTAACTACCAATGCATTATTTTAGAATGAATCAAAATCTTTTAAAATTTTAAGAAGTAAATTTTTGCCCCAAATTACGTACATACCGTTACTCTACAAACATATTTTGTACTTGTCATGTATGCTTCCAAGAATAAAACCATTTAGTAATAATAAAAATATTATTAAAGTGATACATTAGCTACAGAGTGCCCCTAAATATGACAGTGTAATCCTGAATTTGTAAGTTGAAGTCATAACAACTTTGACTTGAAAAGGGGATAAACACAACAGTGTACAATGCTGTACATAATTAGCCAATGTCTCTTCACTTATCTGTAATTATTTTTAGTTGTATTAGATAGTGTAGGATTTGTACTGACAGTGAACTGAAAGAAAACAGAAGCTAGAGGTGATTTAGAATCAACCTATGTATGACTAAATAGATGTCCCAGAAGAAACTGAATGCATTCTAACAGTATATAATAATCACAATTAAATATGGAATGAAGGAACAATAAGCAATCTCTTACAATGTTGAACTTCCTGTAATTATATTTATGTGTGAATTAATATCTAATGTTGTAACTATACTCCAACAATTACATTTTCAACAAACTTCAAAATTTAAAATGTTAATTTTAATTCTATTAACTGTAAGCAAGTTAAATTTATGATTATTTAAATCTCATACTCTTAAAATTGCATTTATTGTTATCCCTGATATCCTAGAAATCCTTAGTCTATTTGTAAGAGCATTATGATCTGTAATCTCGACAATGACTTCATAATCTTCAACTAATCATTGCTGCAAACAGAGTGAATCCTTTCTCACAGGGCTTTATTTTACCCATCAGCTTACAGGGAGTTATCTGCATTTATCAAGCAGTTTGGAATGACATGGGTGCTTGTAAATTGGGGTCCTCTGAAGAAAGATAGAGAATTTATTGGCCAAACTATACAATGATATTTTTTCTACATTCAGCAGCTAAACAGCTGAATTTTTCTTTAACATTTGTATATTTGGGTAATCCATTGTGTCCTAATTTAAATTCAAAATGCATGATGTAGCAATCATATTAAATGACGAGTTTTAAGACCACTCTGTAAAAAGTGGATATGTCAAAGATGTCTGGATCATTTTATGCACATCAGTCCCAAGGAAGGCATTAACTTATTGTCGTAAGTGTGGAATTTCTTAATATAGGAAATCATACTAATATCTGACATCCTGAGTGTTAAAAGTATAATGGTCTTTAAAAATAACTAATACTGTATATGTTCAACAGTACAATATATGCTGTAATTTTATTTTTTATTCAGTGAAAACTTTGGTATCTTGGGGAGAAGTCTTACCTGATCTTCTAATTCATACATCAGTGACTTCATCATGAACAAATGTTGATGTTGGCTGTGATACCAATTTATTATAATTATTTGAGTAAAATTATTAAACCATTTATGAAGAGAAACCCTCTAGAACACTTCATCTACAGAGGAGGTTAAGCATGCCTCCAATTATTTGACATCTTGTTTACAATCAATTTACATGACAAATTCTTTAGAATGTCACTAACTGAAATTGTTTCTGTAAATATCCTGTTAAGATTACCAAACTGACTGTTAAAATTACATTTACATTCTGAAGAGTTTCAGAACTTAACAAGAGAACATGCAAGTTATACATATAAAAAGCACCAGCACATGCTGTGATGAACTAAGAATGTGAATCCAAATTTGTATGCAGAATCTCTTAACAGGTTTATCATATACCAGTATTTTATAACTCACAATTTTTCAGCTCTTTTTGAAGCGACTTGTAGAAAGTCAGAAAACAGGCAGCTAGCTGAAGGTGTCACCAATAATCCCAGTGGGTTTTTCTTAATTACAGTGCTGTGAGTACAGTCAATGAGTTCTTCATACTATCGGAATATCAAATTTATTAATACTTCAACCTCTTCTCCACAGCTGTGGTACTAGTTTTATGTAAAAAAAGAACCTCTCTCCTTTTTACATACTACAGATCTTCAGTCTTACAGCTATCAGATATAAAGTTATATTTGTAAAAGTTAGCAGTGGTCACATTCACCCTGCACTGACAAACATTCCAGTGCACATGCCAGTGTACAAGAAAACATACTCATTCACATAAAAGCAACAAATATATTGAAAAAGTGTCCCTTCTTTAAAAATCGTGTTATGTTATCCTTTTACAATACACATCTGGTATGAATTGTGTGGTGTCTAATGAAGCTTTTTCTACAAGGTGGTTGCTCTCCTACTTGAAGATTCCATGAAACCACTAGTTTTATCTTCCACTTTGTAGCTTCGAGGTCTCCCTAATTTGACAGGGTTGTGGGCAGTCCCTGCTGCTTTATTTCAGTATATGATATTTTATTAAGTAGGTGTCAAGAAAGTGGTTCACGGGTTGTGTTAGGTAACATCAAACAAAGTAATCCACCTCCTGAAACAATGAAAGATTATTCCATGAATCCTCTTTATTTTTATGTGCCAGCATACTCGTATTAGTCACAGAGTAGAATGAGATGAACTGATGTAGAGAATTCAGGTTCCCAAAGTGAGATTTCTGGTACATGCTGATGATGTGATATTAATGAATAATTAATTCTACGGAGTATAATCCTCCTTGAAAAGCTAGTAGCCGTTCAGATAGTCAAGAAATTCCCTGCTTTTTATGGAAGCCAAACTCCAGTACACTTCATCACATCCTAAGTCTTTAAGATCCATTTTATTATTATGCTTTCATTTACACTTAGATCTCCCAGTTCCCTTCATGTCTTCTGCCAAAGATTTTATACAGAATTATCATCTCTCCTGTATGGGCTACATGCTCCATTCATCTAATCCTCCTTCATTTTATCACAGCAAGACTATTTGCTAAAATGTAATTATGAAGCTCCTCATTATGCCTTAGTGGATAATTCCATGCAGCAAAGTCCTTTATGAGAAGCTAATAGTCGCTCAGCTAGTCAAGAAATATCTTAATTTTTTACAATGCAGATATCCATTTCTATGTTTATCTCAATAAGATGAATGACTCACAACTTAATTCTGTAAGATGTACCTTAATATTGTCCTCCCATCCTGAAAGTTGTATCTTTCTTTCAGGCTTTTGGACTATATGTTATATGCATTTCTTATCTCTTCTATGCATGCTTTATGTCCCACTCATCTCATTCTTCAGTTTAATTTAAAAATAAATATTTCTTAGTCATGGAAATTATTAAACTAAAACTGTTATAGATATGTCTAGGAAATAAGTATGTGAAAAAGGCCACATGAATACACAAGTCTAGTCCCACATATTAAGGTATTCATGTAATTTCATTCTTACCTATAAGAAGTCCAGCCACTATAAATGTTGGTGCAGGACAATACATGTCTAATAGAGTTGCTATCACAATATTGCCAATGATACCTCCTAGTCTGGCAGCAACCATGGATATTGCTACACCAGTTGCTCTGAAAAAGAAAATGTATATAAAAATGTTGGCAATTTAAACCAGGGTATCCCAAGTATAAGTGTTTCATATAGATTATTCTTACGAGTATCTGAAGTAGGTGGTGTGCGCATGCACATGCATGGTGCTTGTGGTTGTGCATGCTTCTAACTTATTAAAAAATAAGTAGCGAAGAGGTTTATGTAATTTTTCAACTCCAATCATGAGGGTCTGCTAAAATGCTGTAACACTGATCCAGTAACACATATACTACCAAGTTCTTGCACATTATTTCAATAGTCTGATTTCGGTGATCCTGAAACTCTTAAAGTGTGTCTGAAACTCTTTTTTTTATGGCTCTCAGTTTCCCTGTTGTGCTTTAAATAACCATCAAACCTTTTTCCTTACATTCAAATTTCAGGTTAGGAAACAGGAATAACAAGGACCAAACTATAAACAGGGCAGTATGAGGACATGACTTTTCCATGTTCTCAGAGTTTTATTATAATTGAACCATTGAAATGCACTAAAATTCCTCACATGAATGCATGATGTACAAATTTACATTCAAGAAGGTACTCTTCCTGGCATAAAAGGCCTTCAAAACATATAATTGTATGGCCCACAGGAGAAAATGCGAATCTTTGAGAGGGATGATTGTTGGTTCATTTCTACATAACAGGTATAAATCTAAGCTGCATCACTATTTATAAGGTAGGAAATGAAATCTTCTGTAGTGCAAGGGCAGAGGTTGAGACTTATAATAATGGTTATTTTGGCGACTGGATGATGAGACTAAGTAAAGATAATGATAAATTTGTCCCTGTGCTTAATTAATTGAGTACTATACTACAAAGAGGTATGGGGGATTGAAGGTATAAAGTCACCATTTTTTACCTCAGCATTAAACAGAGGTGAATGGTCAGCTTCACGCCCTGGCTGCATTATCACTGGAACCCATGGAATAGGAAACTGGGTGGGCTCTGAACACTGTGGAGAAGAGAAAAATTCCTGCCTTTGCCAGGAATCAAACCTGGCTGTCGAGCCCATAGCCCGTCACTATACCGACTCAGCTAGAGTGTGAAACCGATTTTGCTGACACCTTAGGTGCGTTCATATCATCGGTGAGGATCATGCATACTTTGTTCACAGAAATCACACATATTCAAATATGAGCTAACACAAACCAAATCTCACATTAAGGCAATTATTGCATCATTCTTAGGTGCTGATTTAACCCCATCTTCAGACTTTGGAAAGCACTGAAATTTTGTTTGCATAATGAACTGCTTCATTGCCAAATGCTGTTTGAAACAATGCAGGTTTTCCAAAAGATGTTTCCTCAAGTTTAATGAAAAACTGAAGATGTATATACTCTTCTCTATCATCAGCCATTTTGAAATGCAGAACAGTATCACACCATTCTTTTTATCGATTGACTGAGTGCAGGCATCATGAAGGGATTGCATATGTGATATTAAAAATACATCTACATCTCTTAGCTCTTCAAAGTGCTTAAGAAAGATAAACAGTCTCAAAACATTTTTGTAGGTCCTTCATGAATAACCATGTAAGGAGGAAGCAATCTTACCTTAAATTTGTTGGGAATATTTCTGTAATAAGGCAGTCAAGTGCTGCATTACCACAACTGATAACACTGCTGAACACTGCTGATACTATAAGATTTTGTTTTGTGTTGGTGACAAAGTACATACCGCTGGCACAAAGACCAGAAGAAAATGTACTGAAGACTGAAACAGGAAAGAATTACCATATAAAGACTTGTATCTAGGATACTTAATTCTTAATGGCAACATCAGCAGCCACCTTAGTGATACATTTCTGCCAATAAGGCCCCTAAAGCTTTCTGTGAGTCTGACTTCTGAAGTACAGTAAACCCTCATTTTATTGGACTAATAGGAGGGATAGGGTGTCTGTTATCACTGATGTCCAATGTAACTGAGTAAAGAGGTATTCACAGAAGTATACCAGTACAGCATAGGATGCACAACCAATACAAACAATAAACATGGAAACAAACAATGTCATTACATGAGGTTTTAATATTGAGGTTCTTTTTATTTTTAAGAGTTTTCTAACTATAAAACCTTCCTAATGCCTCAATATCTCTACAGATTGACAACTACACACAGCCAGATTTTGTCCATCATATCTGGGTCCTTTGTAAGAGGGGTTTATTGAATGATAATGCTTCTGTCTTACAGTATCATATCACACTTGCATGCCATCGTAAATTCCTGTTTATGCTATAAAATTATAAGAAATTTTTGCAGGAAGCTAAATAATGTTTAAATCTAAATTCCTTAGTCATTTTGAAGATACCATTCCATTATTAAGCACTTACATGTTAAATGTCATTAACAGTATGATGAAAGCTTTGATAAGGCTCATGGTGGTTGAAGTTATATGTTGAAAAACTACTGAAACCCAACTGCCAACTGAATAAACTGTATGTTAAAATGAGCTGGCCTGCTCTGTGACTCCAAAAGCTCTTTGCAACATGGACTCACCATGTAATACGATGTGGCTTAACCTTTAAGGAAAAGAATTTAAACCTATGTATACTAGGTGATGGCCTGGGGTTTCAAATGTCTTTAAATACCCAAACTGTATTGGTCCATAAAATAAATTGGATTTATTGCTTTCTTAGGCTATTGTCTCCAAATAAACATTGGATTGTTAAGAATTAACTCATTTATCTATACTCAAAGTTTTGAAAGAATTTTTTCTTAGAATAAATTTCACTAATTTGAACTGATTCATATTTATCTCTGAAACATGCCAGAAACTTTTGACAGGTGTGATTGAGTGGTGCGTGTTTTTGCCCACTGTTTTGACATAGGAGGCCTACCATAATCATAACCATGCCCTTTCTACGAAATGGTTCCACTGCACTAAGAATGGAAAAAGTGGACATAACATCCAGTAACCTTTACTTTTGAGGCCCTGTTATGTTTTTCTGAGGGACAAAGACAAAAAATAATATGCTCATCATCTTGAAAACTGTAAAACATGTGCTTTGAGTTCATTGTCTCTGACATTATAAGAACTATGGCATCGTTAATCAAAATTTCAAAAGACAACACTGAGGAAAACATCAAATCAAATATAAACTTAACAATGAATCAGAGGCAACTGAGGAAAAACTGATGCAATAAAACAGAAGAAGATGTCATAACATGACAATCTTCAGTTCTGCCCCACCAACACGTTTACAAGTGAAGTTGTGTAAAGCATCAATTAGGCAGGGGTGCTCACAAATGCAAAGATGGCAGTTATGATGACAAAGAGATTCCAACTACACATGCATCTCAAGAAGTATCAAAGTGGGATAACTGACAGGTCAGACAAACAGTAACATCCATCAATTTACTGTTGACATGACTGGCAAAAGACTTTAACCTTGCCTTTCTCTTCCCTACACAAAAACACACTTGTCCCAGCTCCCTTCCCCTACCCCTCCCACACTACTGCTTTCACTTGTATACTTGCCCTTCCCCCTTACCCTCTCTGCTCTCACATAGCTGTGTATTTCCACACAGTCTGCTTTTACCGGTTCTCACGGCCTCTCCGCTTGCAGAATTCTTATATTTTTTCTTCAACCCTGAAGATGGAGGCGATACGTTCCTCCGAAACGTCGGTTAACACCACATATACATGGTGACAAATTCCAGAAGACTGCTTTCTTCATACTAAACAGTTGTTTTCACTTTCTTATGGTAAAGCAATATGATGTAAAATATCTCCTCACATTCTTAGATAATAACCAAAATTACCAGGGGCAACTACAATAGGAGGAAAGGAAACTGGATTACATTGAGCAGGAGAATTCTTAACCACAGCAACCTGTAAAGTTACATTTCTCCACTTTTCTAACAATGACAGTGCTCTTTATAATAGTGACCTAAATTATGACAGACTATGGAAACTACAATATATTTTTTACCTGCTGAACAGTGCATACTGAAAATATTGCACCCCTTCTAAATATCTTCTCATGAATGAAGTTATAGAACTTTTAAAGTAGTAGTTAATTTTTAAACAATACATACTCAAGAAACACAAATATCTCAGAATAAGAATTTATAAATTATGTTACATGTCTGGCTACACATATGATATGTTTGTGACAAATGAATGTCTAGGAAAGGACAGGATGTGTGACCATTGATATGACAGCAACACATAAAACTGTGAAACCATTGACAAGAAAGGTGAAGGGAGATGGACATAAGCTACAAATGGACAACTTATTTTTGTCATCTGACTTATCAAAGGATCTCACAAAGCTGAAAATAGATTACTGAAGTAGAGTCATACCTAACATAAAGTGAATGCCATGGAAACTGCCACCACAAAACAAGAAACCGAATCAAGGAGATATTCATTCTATGGCAAGAGGTGACTTGACAACAATGGTCTGAAGAGGCAGACATTTATACATACTGACAAATATGCACAATGCATCAACAAATGATAACTTCTGTGTAGAGCATGGAAATATTATGAAGCAAAGAGCTATAACAAACTTTAATATTATGTTATGTTGTCACTACCACATGGTTTTTGACCCTACTCCTTTTATTTTAACTCCTGGACTGGTAATGGTACCAGACATCTCAGAGGGAATTTTGGCTTGTAGTTTGCATTAAATGGTAACATTGCACTGTATAACACATAGTGGTAGTGATGCTGATGGTACCACATCTTACTACATCCAGTGGTATGGCTGAGAAGGCAAGAACATTATGTAAATTACAGGAATTTCAAACAGTAATCCTTATTTCCAAATGTAAGAAACAATGTTGGTGTCTCACAGTCCATAATACAAGATCAAATTATGAGTGAAGCTGCATGTAAGTTAGGTCCTTTAATCAATGCTCAACAAGCAGCAAAATTTTCTGTGTGTGTGTGTGTGTGTGTATATATATATATATATACACACACACAACTTACGACCACAAAAAATGAAAAATAAAAGATGATTAAAATGTAAACTTTTTAAAAATAAATTATGAAGATGATAAAAAGATTAGAAAATTTAAAAAATACTGTTAATAAATATATGGCCGACATATGACCAGATCGACTTATGATCTGTCAGTCAGAATGGAAGTCAGTCGTTAAGTCGACGTCCAAGTGTATATATATATATACACACACACACACACACACTGGTACAACTACACAGACAGAAATTTGTAAAGTTGAGCAGTAAATCTGTCAAGGAGAGTGTTTTTAGCATTCGACATTTTTGAGTATAGCATTATAAACAGTAACAATGGGAAAGATTCCAAACCACACATAGCTCTGAATTATAATTTGGATGACTGAGTTACAGTATGTCTGTCTCCCATGTTGTTATATCTATGTTTACTTTGACCTTGTAATTACATATTTGTTCTTTGGTTTCATTTCCATTCTGACTTTGATACATGTATTTTTATTTCTTCCATGCCAAAAATATTTTGTTTGACTCTTATATAATTTTGTTTTCAAAAAATTTCTGAAGAAAATGTTTGCACCAAACAGTGATTGAGTAATTTGGAAACTTAAGTAATACTTGACAAGGAATTTCATAATTTATACCGATCGTCTAATACCGTTAAGGTAGCAAAATCAAGGAAATTATGATAGGTCAGAGGGGTAACCTGGATTTGGGAGACAAGAAATGTGTATAGAATTCTGATGTAGAGACCAAGTGGAATACTTAAATGAAAACACAAGAATAATAGTAGCAAAGCCTAGCTTAAGGAAATATGTTGTGAGGAGAGCAGGGCTGTGTCAAAACAGTGGCTTTGGTATTAACAGCACTTATGCAACCTTCAGGATAAGCTGCTAGACACTTAGATATTACACAGATAGCTTCCAAAATTTTTTATATTTAACAAGAAAAAATTTTCTGCCAAGCCTGTCCATGAAAAGTACAGCAAGAACATTGCTTGGAAATGCAGCTGCTACAGTAATAAGGGACTCCATGAACACATCACTGTCAATTTTATCACTGCACAATTTCTCATCAGATTCCAAACCTGTCTTCACAACATATTCTGTTACTTCACATACAGATGCTTCCTGTCCTCTGTGTGCTTGAGAGTACTCATTAAACCGATTGAACAATTCAGGAAACCACATCATCAGTCCATAGTATCTGAAAAAAAAAGCAGGGATATATACATATGCACATTTGAACCCTTCACACATACATGCACACATGCACATATGTGTGCATCTGCGTGTTGGGGTGAGCCATGTGTGAATGGCCCAAATATGTATGAGTTCAGTAATATATTTTCTGCATGAGAAGGAAACATATAAGAGGGGCCCATGTTTGAGTTATCATATAGGAAACAACAGCCTGCCACTAGTCACAGACATGAGATAATGCAAAGAAAGAGAAATCAGTTGAATTTACCACTCAGTTTATTTTACAAAAACTTGAATTTAGCATATAATGTCTTCTGTGGAACTTAATTGTATCTGTGACACACTGTGCTGGCTAGGGTCAAGAGCAATTTACCAGATACTTGAGATTAGATTAATATATAGGTTGCCATAACTGTCAGACTTTTTGTGGTCATGAGTCCTGTGGGACTCAGAACTGAGAACCATTCTGCTGGTGAGGACCAGCAGCAATTCATCGGTCGGTTGGTCTGTCTGTCTATCTATCTGTCTGTCTGTCTGTCAAGAGAAAGCTGGCTGATCTGCATGACTCCCAGAGTCATGAGACAGTTAAATATAGTCATGAGTCCTACAGCACTTGGAAACAAGAGTGACTATTGTGGCAAGGACCAACAGGAATTTAGCTGACCCTGATGCCCCAAGAGTTGAGATAGTCATGAGTTGCAAGTGGGCAGTGGCAGTTCATAGTTGGTGGTGAGCAATCTCCATTGTTTGCAGCTGTAAACTAACAATGACTAGTGATAACAGAATAATGAACAGATGATTTTATATATGCTGTAGTTGTCATAATTTGTAGTGTGTGTAATTTAGTGAGAGTGTTAAAGTCGTTTGTATTTATGAGTTATAAGCATTCAATAAATCCAATTATCAATCCAAAACCCATGTCTAGTCACTAACACATGGCTATATATATATATACATTTACACCGCTGTTAACCATAAGGAGGCATGTACAAGTGCCTTTGTATTATGAAGGAAATAATGTTCTCATTACATGTGATGATAATGTATGAAATACCATGCTTGGAGGAAAGAATAGGCTTTCATATTATCCATGCCAGTTGTGTTAAAATATTTCAAGGAAGAATTGTTGGTTTTCCTGTGTAACTGCACTTAACCCAAAGCAGCCCTGACATTTCTAGCAGGTGGTTTTGTTGTAGGGTTTCGCAGTCAGAGAGTTAATGACTATAGCATGTAACAGGCAAAATTTAAAAGTAACTTCTAAAACTTAAAGACTTCTGTTGTCTGGAATATACCACCACTGAAAGTCAACTCCATTTTTGGAGGATCGTGTCAACTCCTTTTTCTGGGTCGAAGAGTAAGCCAAGCAAGAAACCAGCATACAGTATCCAGCAAGCTCTTCAAATCTGAAGTTGAAGAAAGAATGTTCCTCCAAAAAGCTGGCTAATGTTCAACAGGTTATATGGCATTATATCCCACAAGACAGAACCCTGCATAACCACTGTTGTGAGAACCTCAATTCCTAAAACTTCTACAACTTGTTTTGGTTTCCAAATGGGGGGGGGAAGTTTCACATACCATAAAAATAGATAAATTAATTTATTTCCCATGTATATCCTAGAATGTTTTATACTGACATCAATTAAAATTAGTAAAGCTACCCCTTTAACAGGCCTTGGAGGCCCTTAGGATTGTGAGGCTCCTACATTTTCTAGACAATCAGCTCACAGACGGTGGTGAGATTGTCAGCCTTAAGCACCAGCCGCCCTTTACTCCCCAGGAAGATTCCTGGTACTCATTTCTGCTAGAGCCTGAGGTGAATCCAGAGCCATAATTTGGCTGGAAGGATTAGGTCAACTGAAAAATCCAATGACCTCATTGGACTAGAACTGGGGCCTTCCAGCTTGTAGCACAGTGACTCAAACAACTACACTGTGGATATCAGTAACATTTCAGAATTTAGATATCTTATTCTGTGCTTAACACTTGAGTACAAGATCTGATACTGTTATACACACTTTAATTATAGAAAGTTTTTCAGATATGTCTATAATAGACCCACGTATCCATGTGTCAAATGGAACTACAATATGACTTCTATAATGTAACAAATATAACACTAGTACACGAACCTGTAATGTATTAGCCAAATGAATATAGCTCATCTCATGAACCCTGTCAAGTAAATCATTTACACTGGAATTTTGGTTCTCACAGCAGTGGCTATGAAGAGCAGAGCCATTCTGCTCATTGACTTGTTTTTTGCTGGTTTCTACTCAGCTTACAATTTGACCCTGAGTATAGAGGAAATATGTTCCTTTCAAACACAGGCTGACTTTGCCAGCGTACTTGGCATTATATCTCTGAACAGAGAATTCTTCAAAACACTTCTAAACGAAATACTAACCTTGATTATACTATTTCACGTGGGAATCTAGAACACAGTTTATACAAGACACTTTACTATTAAAAATTTAATTCATTTGTGAGCCTCATGTCATTATCCCAAGAGTCTCTATAACTGCCTACAGCTGTGTCTGGGGACTGGCAGACAACTGGCTGTTAACAATGTAGACGATTTTAAGGAATTTATGAGATTTGTAAAAAAAAGTCTCATAAAATTCTCATTTGAAATCAATTTTTTAATTTAATTTTCATGTTCAACAATTCATTGTATTGCATTTATTTAGTTTGATTTAAGTGGCTTCATTCCATGTGTACATGGCAGATATTATGATGTGATTCTTATATTGATATGAAGTGGTGACTGCTTCTAAGAGTCATGCCACCAAGACATACACAGCATGGAGGAAATTCTGACCTCTTTACTATTGTACATGGAGGCGTGAGCTCCATGCACTGGCTACTTAATCATACACTCTGGGGATACTCTGGGGATTCCAGTATGCTAGGAGGCTGAATGCGCCCCAAGATCTGTCTGTATATTGTGACAAAGGGTCTCTTCTCCTCATGCAAATTGAATAATAGTCATCCAACCTGTAAGCAGTCACTTAAAACAATACAGTATGTTTTCTGGACTACAAAATGCACCTAGGTGTTGGGCTATAGTTTTAAGAAAGAGATCTGCAATACCTTTAAACTATAAGATGCACAGAGATTTTAGATAATGAAAAATAGCAATATTAATAGGAAAGAACTTACCCAATATGAAAAGTAAAGTTAATTGTGATAGAAATGAGAGTGAACTTTAGTATTGGTGAGACAAATAGCTGTCTGCTGTTGTCCACAATATCACTCAGCATGTTCCGACATTTCCCAACTTCCTCTTTTTCTTTTTCAATTTCTTCCTCAGTTTTTGGAAATTCATCTAGTAGTTCTTTTACCTGCAAGTAAATTTAAAAGTGCCACTGTTTTCTCTCAACAAGTCTTCCATCACAAATTATTTTACATGGTGATACAACTTTTAATATGAATGTAGATGGAGTTATGTAAATAGTGATCTGTTGATTTTATGTTCTTGGTATCATTTAAGGTACATAATAGACACTTTAATTTACATAGTCAGGGCATCTATTACTATTAGATATATCACCTGATTTTAATAAATCAATGCAATAAGATGCTGGGAAAAATATTCTGTATAGATATGGATTCACTGAATTAATATATTATGTAGGTTCTTGGTAGAATGAAATTACTTATTTATTCCACATTAGTGTGATGTTAGAACTCTGTCCACTGTAAAATATTTGGGGACATTCTCAGCAAGTTATTAGGAAGAAAGAAATTAATACATTCTGCTTTGTGAATATGTTTACAAGACAACAGAGATCTATGTGCCCAAAGATTTCTTGGAATTCAGGTTACTCTAGATCACAAGCTTCCTCACATATTCTCCCTTCCAATCTACTCTTCCTTGAATAATGTGAGGAACTGCACTATCATGCAAATTAAGATGAAAGCTGCCTGGTATCTTCTCTATTCTTTTGTGGAAATTTGCTTGACAGGCAAATGCAATGGTAGTCTTTTAAGAAAGGCCATGATTGACACACTCTCACATTCTTTCCACTCTGTGCTAAATTTAACAGTTCAATCATCTCCGGTTGATTCAGTACTTAATATATTCCAAGAATTTATCACTATCACATTGTTGGTAATAGCACCCTTTTCTAACGTTCCTTACACTTCACACTTCTTCTTGGAGACAAGATGTGAGGTTCTACAGCAATATCAAGCTTATGGTCTTGTGGGATGTAACAACATTAGTTTGATAGAAAGTAGCAAAGTTTAGGAGGAAAATGCTGCCTCTATCTTCAGGGTAGAAGACAGAGGCTGCTGGTTCCTACAGACTATGTAGGAATTCCAAGAAAACTTTAATTTTAATTTCTTGGGGTTGACTTCTCATGGCAGAAATGTGGGTGATGTGTCTGTTATTGTATTCATTATTTTTCCAGACCCTTCACTTGGTAAACTGTCCATTTTATGGACTTTCATTTTATCTACCATGAACTGGCACCACTGTGTGACTGTATAGTTGACTTTGTGACTTATGCCCATTTCATTTTTTTCATACCTCATGCCACAATGCATTGCAGAGCTGGCAGATGATGATGGCTGAATGTAACTTATAGTGTGCTCTTCCCTGCAAGTATATTTCATAACCATTTGCCATGTATCTATTCCTGCAAGATTTGTTAACAATGAAGTACTGATTTGTGGTGTTTTGCTCTTCTGCGGCTTTCTAGCACTGAAGACATACTAATAGTAATTTCTCAAGGAAGGAATTCTTCTTCACTTTCATTTTAAATTTTATTTTATTTTATTTTATTTTAAATAACATATATTAAAAAGGCAGAAGAAAGTAGAAGAAAAGAAAGAAAAAGAAATATTTTACAGTGACAACTCATCTTGCATGAAACCACAGAATTATTGGCCAAATTTGCAATAAATGTCATGGCACAAAAAGACACACCATAATTCTTTTTCCTTATTTTATGACACCGACTACTCATAGGACTGTGTCTATTGCCAAAAAATACCACACTTTTAAAAACATATGCTTGGTTCTTGTGCGCACCACAAAGATACTGATAAAATTCTTGAAGAAACCATAAAGTCGAAGAAAGTATTAATCTACCAGGCATCTAAGAAGTAAGTCCTATTCAAGCTGAAGTGGTGCAAAGCTGCATAATATTGTACAATATGTAAGAAAATTACTCCACCTTTATGATTTCATATATGGCATTCACAGGAACTATAGTGGTTAAAGTACTGGAAGAACACGAGCATTTGCCTGTACTATGTTAAGGGGGTGAGAAGGAATTTATTGTTCATTCAGTATCAGTGATCAGTGTTAACTTTTGGCTTTCCTACTATTCTTTTGACTTTAAAGAATGTAGTGAATTTCTAACTTGGATGACTCTGGAACGAATATCATCTGCTTTAAGAAAAACTTCCCTGGTGCTGATTGGGAAATTTTTTGTGAAGGCACTTAGATGTTTTACACAGTGCACTGCTAGACACATAACTCATGCATGAACTGCATTCTTCAGCAATAGAGAAAGTGAATTACATGCTTTATTTAATGAAGTTAATTAAAAAAAAAATTGGAATGTAATGAATATTCTTGACTACAGTAGAGAGAATATGAAAATATCTGCCAAAGAGAGTCTAGGTTATTATGAACCGAAGAAGCATAAGCCATGGTTCCATGAAAGACGCTCAAAATTACTGGACCAAAGAAAGCAGGCCAAATTGCAATGGTAACAGGATCCAAGCGAGCTAAATGGGGATAATCTGAACAATATAAGACGTGAAACCAGCAGGCATTTCAGGAACAAAAAGGGGGATGAGCTTGCGATGAACAGTAAGAACAAGAACATTAGGGACCTGTATAGAGGAATAAATGACTTTAAGAGGGGTTACCAACCTAACAGTAACTTAGTGAAGGGTGAGAATGGTGATCTGCTTGCAGATTCCCACAACATTTTGAAGAGGTGGAGGAGCTACTTATATCAATTATTTGAATGTACATAGGGTCAGTGATGTTAGGCAGACAGAAATCCATACAGCTGAGCCGTTAGTACCTGATCCTAACCATTTTGAGGTTGAAAATGCTATTGCAAAATTGAAACGGTGTAAATCGCCAGGTAGTGATCAAATTCCAGCAGAATTTATTCAAGCACGAAGTGAAATATTACATTCTAAGATCCACAATCTAATTACTTCTATTTGACATAAGGAAAAATGGCCTGATCAGTGGAAGGAGTCTATTATTGTACCAGTTCACAAGAAGGGTGATAAAACTGACTGTAGTAATTATTGGGGGATGTCACTGCTATCAACTTCATACAAAATATTATCCAATATTCTTCTCTCAAGGTTAAGTCAATCAGTCAATCTGTGGGAACATCCCACATACTAACACATGGTTTCGCCTGTCTAACAGACAACACTCACTCCTAAGTCAGTAGCAAATTGCTGCGCATGCCTCATATTTATACAGCACTCGCTGTCCAACCCACTTTTCATAATCACCTGCGCTAACCAATCACATTACTGCCACCACTCATATTTATACAGCACTCGCTATCCAGCTCACTCGTAATCATGACGTGTGCTAGCCAATAAGTGCTCACAATAGCAACTACACGTCTAAGCTCTGCCCACCAAGATTGGTATAAAAGACAGAGCTCCAAACCAATAATCTTCAGTGACCACATCAGCCAGTCAGTGATCACACTTAGTCCAGAGTGATCGGTCTTCGGAGTCATCGGCTCTTCAGTGCCCCAGGGATGGCTGCCACGGCTCTCCAGCGGTCATGCCCTATGACCAGGCAACTGGCGCAGCTGCCGCAACTTTGGCCAACACGCTGTAGCCAACAGCTATTTCCACCGGCACATGCAGCACTACATCGCCAGCCAGACAGACGAGCCGGACAGCCGTAAACCTCTGTCTAATGCAAAGGAGCTGATTCTGCCAGCGCACTCGCGGTGGCACAACTGTCCTTTTCAGGACCAGCAAACTTTTGAACATCGCCATTCCACATAGCTTCACTGCTATCTTGTACATTTCATATATACAATTTAATATATACAATTGTTAGAGTTCTACGTGGTTGTCATTTAGAACGACATCCCACATTGGTGACCCCAACTCAGCATGGACACCGCAGACAGCTCGCAAGCAGCAGTATTCAGAGGCTGTGCGGCATCCAGCTTACCATAAAGAAAAACACATGAACTTTAACTGACGCAAGTAAGGAGGTTGGTCTAGGAGTAAACACAGAGAAAACTAAGTTGCTGTCTCATCATCAAAATGCATGGCAAAATCATGACAAAAAGATAGGAAATAGATGTTTTGCAAATGTGGCACATTTCAGATATTTGGGAACAATGATAACAAATCAAAACCTGATTCAGGAGGAAATTAATTGGAGATTGAACTCAGGTAATGCTTGCTACCATTCAGTCCAGAAACTTTCGTCCTCTTGTCTGCTGTCCAAAAACGTAAAAATTAGAATATTCAAAACTATAAATTTGCCTGTGGTTCTGTATGGGTCTGAAACTTGGTCTCTGGCATTAAAGGAGGAACATAGACTGAGGGTGTTTGAGAACAGGGTGTTGAGGGGAATATTTTGACCAAAGAGAGATGAAGTGACAGGAGATTGGAGAAAACTGCATAATGAGGATCTTCATAACTTGTACTCTTCTTCAAGTATAATTATAATGATCAAGTCAAGAAGGATGGGGTTGGCAGGGTATGTAGCATGAATGGGGGATATGAGGAATGCATATAGGATATTGGTGGGAAAGCCAGAAGGAAGGAGACTACTTGGAAGACCAAGGGGTAGGTGGGTGGATGATACTAAAATGGATCTTGGAGAGATAGGATGGGATGGTATGGATTGGATTGATGTAGTTCAGGATAGGGACTAGTGGAGGGCTCTTGTGAACACGGTAATGAACCTTCATGTTCCATAAAATGTTGGGAAATTCTTGACTACAGAATGTGAACTTAGTTAAAAATAATATCCACTAAAGAAAAGATAATTCAAAATTGTCACAAACTGAACCCAGTATATGGTACTTTTTTAAATTTCCGTGAAAAACATGAAATGGGTTCAAAATAGAATTTGAGTCAGAGAATTTATCTTCTAAGTCATTTTTAACACGGTATAATACTGTGTGATAATCGTGTGTGAGAATGCTTTTTCATTGTGAGATGAGAATTTGAAAATATTTACAGAGCTGAGACATGAATGGCAATTCTCAACTAAACCCAGTCACCAATTTATAATATTAGCCATTTCTCACAGTGCACTGAAGTGTACCATTTAGCAATTTTTATATCAGATGCTGATACCAAGAGATTGATAGATTTTATTAACAGCTGATAGAAGCTATACAAGCCATACATTTGAATCTGAAAAATCAATACTCAAATCAAGAATGGCATATTTCTGCTTAATGAAATTTAAAAAAAAATAGGCACTGCCACATGACTACTGTGTGCATTACTCTTTCAGATGTTGCATATGTGCAGCAGAATATATTGGAACCAGTATCATATGTGAGCATAACATGAGAAAACAAATATGTACAAAGTAAATAAACAAATAATTAAATGAATGAATAAATAAATAAATAAATGCCATCCTTTCCAGACCATAAACACACTTTCTTCCCTGGAAAATCCAACCTAAAATTCATCTGTGCTTTTTGGTCCAAAGGTACTGCAGAATGACCTTCAAAGCAAACTGATTCATTTTAGAATGAAGACATCATGGCATGCAGTACAATAGTTTAACGTGCATAAAGACACCTGAGGATGGCACATTAGTGCTGAAACATGTAGTGTGGAAGTGAAGAATAAGGTAAAAAAGTGTATACACTGTAAGACGGTTAGCATAAACCATGGACATGAATCAGTGTAACAGGACGCTAAAATATAACATGATTTTTATCTAGCAGCCATTGTCATATCTAGCCTGCTAGCTGGAGAGGACACATGTGAATAACACTGAGAAACAGTGACATTATTTTAAATTTGTTATCCTATCAAAATATACTCGTATATAAAATGTTGAGGATTTTATGCATTACACTTGTCAAATGAAATGTGGTTCAGTATGCCAAAGAGCATGGAAACAGGGCAGCCAAAAGAATTCGGTTCTGCATCAACAAAACAATAATATCTGAAGCAAGGAGGTGGGCAGTCACATACAGCATCATTGATTTTGCTGGGAAAATTTCTTGATGCTTCTGATTTTTGAAAGCTTAAGCATTCATACTTGAATTAAAATAGCATAAAAATGCCAGTCAAGTATGAAGCCAAAATTTTGGGGTTTCATAAATTTGTTGCTGCATGGAAGAAATGAAGTTCTGATCTTGGGCAGACTGGCAGCATGGACGATTTTCCTTATCTTTCAGTGTTCTACTGAATATGACTGTGGATACTAGAGTTGCTCAATTAAACACAAAACTTCAGGCCACAAGAAAAACTTGTTACACCGACATCTTGGCATCCTTGTGCTGATGGCATAAAGCTGCTTCTATTGTTAATATCCAAATAAAAAATGATGCTCAAACATAATTTTCTGTGATGAATTTTGTGTGGCATTGTTGTTTTGTTTAGTAAGTGCTTGTGAATTCATGTTTCAAACCAATGCAATGAAATTAAATATATTTTCCCCAAAATTCACTTTCTGAATCCTAGATGTACCTTATGGTCTGCTGTGTCTTATGGCCTGGAAAACAGAGTAATTACTAAATGTTCCAATAATTAAAGAAGGTGAACAGTAACATAAACTTGACTGAAAATTGCACAGAGAGCATTGACTTCTCAGAAATACTAGGTTTGTGGGCTTTGTCCATTGTCCAGTATTCTAAAAGCTAGAGAACACAACTTTTCAGAAACTGAAACTGTTTCCACCTCAGATAAGGAGGAAGACACCTACTCTTTTGGATCCCTTAGAAACAACCTAACCTCAATTACTGGATATAACTACAGTTATATAAATGCCTGAGACCTGACTTTGTCGAAGGGAGATAATAGGAAAATATACAATAAAATTGTGATAAAGCATGTGCATACCTTAAAGTAAATAAGTGAGGTAAGAATTTATGAAACAAACTTAGCCAACAATCCAAGTCCATGTAAACCAATGCATAGGATTTAATTGATAATTTTGTGAAACCATTTTGTACCTACTGCTAGCGCCATTTGTGAAGTGAAAACTGAACACTGGGGACTAATACCTTATAGAAACCTTATCGATTCACAAACCCAACATTCCTCTGAGACCTCTAGTGAGTTCTGTTGTTTTCCCTTTCTATGCCCTGGTTGGTTTCCTCAATAAGATACTCAATCCTCTTGCTGGAAAATTGGAACCCTTTTTGAAGAATTCTGGCCAATTCATACGATTGGCAAAGCCTGTAAGCCTTCAATCTCTAGATACCCTCATTATATTTTCATTAATATACCAGTCAGCAAAACCATAGAAGTCATCAGAAATGAGATCCACAATAGACACACATCAGCATAAGGGCCTGTCTTGCAGGTCGAAGCCATGATGGAACTGCTGGAAGTTTGTTGGAGAACCACATATTTTCAGGTGGACAAGAAGTACTACTAACAGAAAGATGGCATGACTATGGGAAGCTCTCCATCACTCATCACTTGCAACATTTATGCGGAGTATTTTGAGAAGCTGGCTCTGACTCGGCACAGCACAATCCATCTCTGTGGCTCCTGTATGCTGATGACACATTTGCAATCTTGCCTCATGACCCAGAGTGGCTGCAGAATTTCCTCAGCCACTTCAGTATTTTAATATTGTATTTCATTATGGAAATAGAGTCAGACAGTGCGATTCCTTTTCTGGATGTTCTGGTCATCAGGAAAGGGACCACAATGGCCACCAGCGTTTACAGAAAAGCCATCCACACTAGACGTTATCTCAACTTCAAATCTAACCATCCCCTGCATGTCAAAAGAGGTTTAATTCAGAATGTTCAAAATAGAGCTGCCAGCATATGCCAAGAAAGACAAGATCTCTTTAATGAAATTAGCAGCCTCTGGGCTCTGTGTATATCCCATATGTTTAAGAGAAGTTGAAATGCATAGGGAATCGATATGTTAGGATGATCTTCACTCTTACAAGTTCACTCATGAAAACCAGACTGGAAACAAATCCACAACAGTGATATGTTGCGCCTGTAGCATTCTCTGTGAATATGACAGAAGCTATATTGGTAAAACAGGCAGGCTTTTAGCCATGCGAATCCATGAACATGTGCACAATGTCAAAAGGGGTCTTCTAAAATAATCAAAATTAGCCCAACATGCCTATGAAGAGGGTCATAGGATTGACTGGGATGAAGCTAGGATTTTGGAAAGTCAGAGTAACAGCAGGTACAAGAAATACAAGGAATCGGCCCATGTGGAATGCTTAACCAATCCGATCAGCCAACCAAGTTTAGACATTTCTCCAATCTGGATCCCCCTTATCAACAATGAGGTTACCAACTCACAGAGAAGATTAGTATGATGGGACATATTTTTCATTGATTTCTGTAAGGTTTTAGTCCTGATTGTTCAGTTTTTACTCCACTAATGATGCTAGATGTAGATACAATTCTTTTTTTTAGAGAATTATCCATTCAATCCTTTGCATTTGTTTCCACTGAATTGGTTTGTTGCATAAATTTTGATCTCACTTTCTACCTTAGTTTCAGGCCTGTGTCTGCTTTATCACAATTTTTATCATGTATGTTCCTCGTAAGAAGATGCTGGATGACCTTGGGGACAGAAGAGGATATTTTCATTTGAAGGAGAAAGCTCTAGATCGCGTCAAGTGGTGGAACTGTTTTGGAAGAGACTGTGGGCCTGTCATCTTGACAGATTACAGATGAATGAATAAATGTTCCTGTTATTTCCTTTCAACAATGCCTTGTCTTGTGCATTTATATACCTGTAGTTATATTACTACATTTACATAAGATATATTGAAAGGAAACTGGTTACATGTTGTATATACTAACCTACATGATTCATAGAACACTTTCAAGAATGAAACTCACTGGATAGAAGTCATCCTGTTTACCCGTGTTGATCTGATATATCTTTCTGAAAATGTTCAGTGCGCCTTCACGGTCACCTTGTGACAGTAAAAATTTTGGACTCTCAGGAAGGAATATCAGTAGAATAGCCACAACAAAACTGGGCAGTGAACAAACTAGGAGAAATATACGCCAGGAGTTGTACCTAAATGATGATGAGAAATATCCAATACTGCTTGGAATTATTAACCATGCTAGACCTGAAAATTAGAAACAAAAGACAAATTCAGTTAAATTTATAACCTTCATTATGCGAAATACATATCAATTTAAGTTATCAATGCACATGAGCACTACACCATGCAGACATTGGGGGGAAGTGAGATAATGCTCCATACATTCTTAACCTCAGCACTAGATTGAAGTGAGTGATCAGCTTCACACTCCAGCTGCTTTATCTCTGTGGGTAGACTCACTGGGCAAGAGGCTAGGATGGCCTCATATCCTCTTTGGTTGCAGCAGGGAAAATAAAAGTTCCTGCACCTCCTGGGAATTAAACCCCAGTATTCCAGCACAGATATGGTTCAAGGAAAAAATAAATCTGATATATTATTTGATGTAACTTACATCTGAATATTATTTGTCAGACTTATTCTAGCTCTAAACATTCTTTTAAAAATCTCATCTATTAATGAAATAATAAGAATAAAATCAAACTGTCTTTTTCATGGTGTTTTCTTCAAGAAAAAAGTCTACTGATAAAGTGCAGTTGCATAAATTCTTGTTCATTTTGTGACTCACATGCTACAAAAAGGTTTCCTAATGTCCAAAATGCAGCCATAAAACTTAACATTGACCCTCGCTTAGCTTTTGGCTGGAATTCAGCAAAGTAAGACCATATAACAGGACCACTTCCACCAAGCCTACAAAAGAAAGGACATTGTTACCCAAGATCAAAAAAGAAAAGTTACAATTAAGTGAAAGGTCTGACAGTGCGAAATTATGTAGCATAAAATATATTCAAATTTAAACTACCAGGAATAGCGACTGAAAGAAATTTTGCAAAGTACTTGTGTAAATACTTATCAATTCTGCCAATGTTTTCTCTCAATTTTATGTATGCAACCAATTGTTTCATCATCCTTATAACCAACTTTCTTCATGTATCATATTTGCAAACAGAAGCATGCAGTATGGTATCATGTTCGACTTGGTTCTCTGATACTACTCTATCCCTCTCTTTCTCTTTCTCTCTCTGTTTCTTGTCTGCGTTTCTCATTGCATTTTGTCATATTTGTATATCAGCTGGGTCGTTGTTAAGACAAATGTTCTGGTTCATATATTAATTTGAATTCAGTAAATATTTCAAGACTGACTAAACTCACCTACCTCTTGCAGGATAAGACCTTTTTTTCAGTAACTATGCACAAATAATAGACAGTGATGGCCAAAAGTGATGACTGAATTCTTTCAAAGTATTTATTTTCTGAAACTCTATGAAATTAATTTGAGAGAACATATTCCTCTCATTTTTGCAGCAATGCAGTGTGATGTGATCAGTAAGTTTATGGATGATCTTTACTGTATGGGCCAGAAGACCACAATAAGACCACCGATTTGTAATTAATAATGAAATACATTCTTTAAATACAGGACAAAGTACTAATTTACACATACCATCGGCAAATTTGAACAAATGCAAAAAGGGTGCCTATTATATGGGTATAGAAATTTTTAATCATTTACCGCATGATATAAGGGAACTGTTATATGATGTTAAAAAATTCAAATTAGTTACTAAAAACTTTTTCTTAAAGGAATCCTTTTATTTTGTAAAAGAATACCTTGAATGGTCAGCATAATGATGGATCATACATAGTGTAATTGATTTTTATATTACCTATTTACAGCTGTGTTGTTCCTTTGTATATTATTTTTGTCTTAGTATGTTTTAGTGTATTATATGAAATATTGTTGTGATTGATACAAATAGTGTCCTTGATTAAGTAGTGTTATTTATTGACAAGGTTGTGTGTTACAACTGCTACTATTGTACTCATTTTTAATAATGGACTATATCTATATCTGTGATGACTTGTTATCACCTGTATGGATTACTTGAAGTATCAATAAATTAAATTACATTAAATTAAATCTAAACAATGTATAAAATAGATTCTAAACAGTTCTGACAATGGTGTGTCACTTACACTTTGTCCATTGTCTGGTATTCTAAAGGATGCATAAGAACGTGTTTCAGAAGCTGGATTTGTTTCCACCCTCAGGCAAGGGTGTGGGAGATGTCTACTCTGTTGTGTCCATTGGTAAAATCTAAGTTCAATAATTATTGAACTTAGATTTTACCAATGGACACAACAGAGTAGACAGAGTAGACTTACTGTACCAATTATAATTGGTACAGTAAGTGAGGTTAGCTCTTTCTAACGGATCCAATATAGTAGGTGCCCTTCACCTGAGGTTGGAAACAGATCAAGTTTCCAAAACGTTGTTTTCGTGTGTTCTTATGAATACTGGATGATGGAAAAGTAAAAAAACCTGGTAAACCCAAAGTTACAAAATGTAAACATAGGTTAAAATTTGTTTCCCATTATTTCACTTTTGTTAAATTCTCTCAAAGACCATTAAGATTTATAGAAAAGTGTCTTGGGTATAAATATTATTTGAAATAATATATTCAACTATTTGCATTATATGTATGTTTCAACATTGATATTGCATGCAAAATATTCAGAATGTGAACCCTGTTGTGTAACTTAGTTTAAAACATCTACTTGCATGCAAAGTAGATTTACTAGGTCTGAAATTAATTACTCAGAAATAAGACCGCTGTTTAAAAAGGGTGAAAAAACAAATATTTCCAACTATAGGCCTATATCACTTTTAACTTCGTTCTCTAAGGTATTAGAAAAAGCTATGAGCATTCAATTGATTGAGCACTTAAATAACAACAACATTTTAGTGGAAGAACAATTTGGTTTTAGAACAAAATCTTAAACAGATGAGGTTGTATACAAGTTAGTGAATGAAATCTGTTAGACCTTAAACAGCAAAAACTTGATAGGAGGCATTTTTTGTGGCCTTCGATTCTGTTGTCAAAATTGAAGTTCCATGGGATAAAGGGTAAAGCTAAACTATGGCTTGAATCAAAGGGTTTTAATTACAAATATAAATTTTAATCTCAATGAATTTTCGACATGGGGTAAAATTAGACATGGTGTCCCACAGGGTTCAATTCTGGGTCCAGTGTTATTTCTCATTTATATAAACGATTTACCCCAAACTATAAATGATAAAACTGTACCTATATTATTTGCAGATGACACTAATTTGTTACTTAAAAGTTCAAACTATGATGATCTCTGTGTAAATACAAACAATGCTTTTCATAGCATAAATGAATGGTTCAAAGTAAACAAACTTTCTATAAATTTTAACAAAACCCACTACATTCAATTTACAGCTAGAAATAAAAATTCTAAATCTGAAATAAAAGTTGTATATGATAAAAACAAATTACATCTACCTGTATATCCTATATTAAAACTCTTGGAATATTCATTGATGACACAATGAGCTGGAAATACATTGAGTATATTAGTTCTAAACTAAGTGCAGTCTGCTACATAATAAGATCACTTAAACCATACACGTCCATAAATATGTACCTTATAAATGTTTTATCACCCTTATTTTAATTCTATTATAAATTATGGTTCACCCTTTTGAGGTAACTCACCCCAAAGTATAAAAATTTTTAGAATGCAAAAGAATATAATTGGAATTATGTTGGGACGCAGAAGGAGGGATTCATGCAGGAACTTATTTAGAGAATTAGAAATATTACCTCTGGCATCTCAGTACATACTATCTCTTATGCGCTTTGTGATAAAAAATAGAAACAAATTCATATTAAATTCAGAGATTCATGGAATAAATACCAGACAGCAAAATAATCTCCATCAGCCTCTTGTAAATTTTAGTAAATACTATTGAGGACAAAAGGTCTATAATAATCTACCACAATATATCAAGGATATATCGAGTGACACTAAGAGTTTTGAGGTACAATTAAAACAATTTTTATATTTACATTCTTTTTATTCTTTACAGGAATATTTTGGTTATAAATCTTTTTAAGGTGCGAGTAGTTGTCTTAATTTACAATTAAAAGAAGACAAGGTTGTCAGTCTGTGTTCTGGTTTTTAGATGCTTATTTTAGATATACACAATTTTTATATTATTGAATATTAGTCTTTATTTCAATTTATTATATAATTAATGTATGTTATACAAAACTCATTAATGACATTATGTTTTAACTATTGAATTTTTAATTAACAGACCTGCATAAAACTGTACAAATTGTATAAGATTTGCCATTACTTTTACTACTTATTTATTATATTATATAGGTTTATCAGTATTTTATACAAATGTGATGCTATTGGATGACAACTGTAATCCTTAGTTGTGACTGTAACAAGGATGATCTCCACATCTGCATGAGAATGTACTCTCGAGAGGATTTATGGATGGTGAATAAATGAAATGAAATGCTGTTTAAGCACAGAAACAACTTTACCCTTACATAATGGTCTCAGTATAATAGTTCTGCTGCTACTTTGTAGTACCACTGGCTGACTGATTAGATTTAACCTGTGTCCTGTTTAATGAAAAGAAAGTAGATGTATGAGGTACAAATATTCACCATGCTGCCTGTGTTTGTGAGGGTATTCGTGTTCATCCATCCCTTTAAACTTTTTAATCAGCTGGCCAATTTCACAATACTTAGCATAAATATTATGCCACTGGCCAAAAAACTTCTGAGATGGGGAGATATTAGTAGCACTCAATAAATATGGTGCTGAAATGGTGTATTGTAACAGTTTTTTTTAATGTTCAATTCTAGTTAATTTAACTTCCTCTGTAGAAACTGGAACAATAACAACATGGTTGCTGCATGAAACTGATACATTTAATTTTCAATTTGACCCCAATGATTTATTGACTATTCAATCCACTGATGTGAAATTTGGTACAGGTATGGATGCAGAACACAAATATGCCTAGATATTCTGTATGTTACATAGTTCATTTGGTGAACAATTATGAAATATTAGCAGTGTGAATCTTTGAGCTTATATCAAACAAATTTAATGTATATGGAATCTATATGTAAATAATACATTTTCCCTCCCTGAAAACAACAGTGTTCGTGGCTAATAACAATTAGCTCAGGAAGCGGAGGGCATATTGTGAAGCTCTGCTACTCAAGAAATTCCTTGCTTCTCATGGAACCATTAGGTTTGTTAACATGTTCACAAGAACCTGCCAATGGTCCAAACAACAACAATAATGATGATGATAATAACAACAGTTGGTAATAAAGATACAATTGCAAGTGATAAAGAAATTCTGCCTTGATTAGGGTTCATTCATATATATGTATGAGCAAAAGCCCAGCACACTACATTGCAGTGCATCATGGATTATAAATTTACATCACCTAAAAAATTACCTGCAAAATTTAGGTTTGCAGCACTGGATTATATGCAATGGGAAATGGGGTCTACTCAGTTCTTCTCTGAACTCCATGCTTTTGTCAATGCATTCCTCATTTTTATGACTATCACTGTATTTTCTGCCAGATAGCTAAAATCTTAAGACATACATGCAAAAAAATATACAGGCATGGATAAAGGTTTCCTTTACTTACTAGCTTTTCCTCTAAATCAGTGTCACACACCTTGAAAGTGGGATGTGTGACTAAATCTTTGTTATTTGGATGCTAGTTGGTGAAGTAAGTTTCATCCTGTAATATTTTATTTCAACCTATCACTGATGAGGGAAGCTAAATTTCACCAAATGAAATTCACAGATTTGAAAAATTTGGAGAAATTTGAGTGCAGGTCTCACATTAGAGAGCACTTAAATCTCAGACATAAACAAAAGGCAGTCAGAGTAAAAGTCAAATAATTAGGGGCAGCCAAGTTTGTGTGCTTATAATATTATATTTTAGTGCCATGTTGCACTATGTATAAATTTGAATACTGTTCTTCTTATCCATCCTCTTGCCAACTCAATTAAAATTGCTAGCTTTCAATGTTTCTTCTTTCTGCTTTATTTCGCATGTTTTGGCCTAAATTGCTGACAGGAGTACTCCTTTAACACAACTTGTACACCTGATGATGGCCCTTCAGACCTAAAATTATCATGAAATAAATCAGAAAGAAGAAACTTATGAGTAGGAATAATATGATTCCTTTGTTTTAATTTTTATAATTACACAATTGGTACTACCTTGAATGCGTTAATCAGACCTATATCTCACTTCCTTTCCTTTTAAATCATTCTTCACTGTCTACAAATTTTATTACCTAATGATTTATTTTGTCAGAATTCTTGAGGGAAGCAAATATAAGGGTGTAGTATTTTTCAGAAGCCCGTTTTAAATAAAATGTGACACACTTTCACAGAAAATTAAGTGTGGTTATTTTATGTGGTCATGCATTTATATGAAGAGCCAAATTCTCTTTTTCAGTAATTACATCTTGTTACGGGCAATAATCAATGCCTGCTATAGTAACTACATACATATATGCTATATAATGTTAAGTTATGTTTAGAACAAATTGACATTCCTCAGAACCATTTTGTGTATACAATGATTAATGAGGGTAAAGAAAGAGAAATATGCCATTAAACATGTTTTTCAGAGAACCTTAAACATGTATATATTACAAATGTATATTAACCTTTAACATTTTTTGTTCTACTTTCAGGCATTATATAAAGTGTATATGTAAATGGCTGCTAATTGCAGAGAACTGTTACATATGCTAATAGTATGATTTTCAGTTCACACAAAAACTAATTGCGAGTTCAGATCACTCACTGCTAAACTCACAGCATTTCTGACAAATATGATCTCATGGCAAATCAACCATTCTTGTTCTACTTACGCAGCTCCATTGAGAAACCTGAAGAGCATGAACAGTTCGTATGTCTGACAAAAACTTGAGGCAACTATGCAGATGGCGTTCATTATCGATATGGCAATGAGGACTTTCTTTCGACCCAAGGAATCTGCCACTGAGCCCCATGCATATGCACCAGCCATCATACCTTAAATATATAACTTCCATCATAGGTATAAAATGCAATAGATAGTAAATATAACATAAATTTCACCTTCATTTAAACATATTGAAAGTTTTTTTCAGCCCATTTCAGGGATTCATAATATCAATGTTCACAATTTATTAGGGTCAGATTAGTAATGCTTAGGCCTCATGCCACATTTTTGTATATAAAAGAAACTAATATTTGTTCTGCAAAATCTACAAGGAGAAATGGCAAGAGTCACACATGACTTATGAAGGGAAATTGGCAGATAAATATCAATGCCAAAGCGTAAAGTCTCCTGTTTTTTTTTTAACAATGCAGTCTAGTAGAAATTTACCAAAGTTTAGGAGGAATGGATTGAAGCCTAAGCCAATCAAGCAAGCTCTGCTTACTGTTTCCTTTGCTTATTCTTTGACCATAAAGAAGGATGCAGTATGTTGCCCTGAAATATTTATGAAGTTCTGTCACATTACATGCCATAATGTCCCAGTTGATAGCACACTTCATAGTCACCACTATGAGAAATCAAATCTCATTTTTCATGAGGTAGCACAGTTGGTTGAGGCACTATGCTACAAACTGGAAGGTCACAGGTTCGAGTCCCAATGAGATGGATTTGTTTTCAATTTACCCATTCATTCCAGCCGCACTATGGCCTTTGTGGTCGACTCATCCTCTAACAGAAATGAATACTGGGAAACTTCCTGGGGTAAAGGGCGCCAGCGCATAAGGCTGATAATCTCACAGCCATCTGTGAGCTGATTGTCTAGAAAATGTGGGAGCTTCGATGCCTCACAATCCTGTGGGCCTTCACGGCCATTTACAGGGATAGCTTTAACTTTCTTTTCTTTAATGCAGACTGTCCTCCCCTCAACCCCTTTGATATAATCTTGGTGGTGCCATTGTCCCCAGTATGGAATATGTTTAATCACAGCATACATTTGAAATCAAGAAATATTATGAAACATAACAACATCCTTTCAACAGTCTTTTCAGTGATGCAATACTTTCTGTCACACAGAAATGCTGTAATACCTTATGCTGACAAAGAACATATGTCCCTTACCAATAAAAATTATGCAGTTAAGCCAGCCCTTTGTATGAGTATTGAGGTTCAAATCACATTCTGCGGATGGAAGAATGAATGACATGGAAATTACATCCATCTCTTCACTTGTACTCACAAAACCACATGTAGCTAGCAGAAAATAATGAAATCTTCCGTACCCTGAAACATTCAAAACTTTATTTACGAGTAAATATGGGTATTTTGTGAGTGCTGGTAGATCCCACAAACTGTAGTGTAACATTTTAAATTTCCAGAAGGAACAGCTTTGAAAATGTGGCACAGTTCAGATATTTGTGAACGATGATAACAAAACAAAACCTGATTCAGGAGGAAACTGAGAGGAGATTGAACTTGGGAATGCTTGCTACCATTCAATCCAGAACCTTTTGTCCTCTTTTCTGCTGTCCAAAAACATAAAAATTAGAATATCCAAAACTATAAATTGGCCTGTGGTTCTGTATGGGTGTGAATCTTGGTCTCTGACATTAAGGGAGGAACATGAACTGATGGTGTTTGAGAACAGGGTCTTGAGATATTTGGACCAAGGCAGGAAGAAGTGACAGGAGGTTGGAGAAAACTGCATAATGAGGAGCTTCATGACTTGTACTCTTCTCCAAGTATAATTAGAATAATCAAGTCAAGGAGGATGAGGTGGACAGGGAATGTAGCACGAATGGAGGATAAAGGGAATGTATATAGGATATTGGTAGGAAAGAAGGAAAGAGACCACAGGGAAGACCAAGGCATAGGCGGGTGGAAATATTAAAATGGATCTTAGAGAGATAGGATGGGATGGTATGGATTGAATTGATCTGGCTCAGGATAGGGATCAGTGGATTGCTCTTTTGAACACGGTAACGAACCTTCTGGTTCCATAAAATGCTGGGAAATTCTTGAGTAGCTGCAGATTTGGCGGCTCTTCAAGAAGGGCTCAGCTCCATGAGTAAGTAAGTAAGTAAGTAAGTAAGTAAGTAAGTAAGTGAGTTCCTGATCGTAGTGGTATACCTCCGATGATGATTCATTAAGAGTCGAAACATGTTAGGTAACTAAGTGCTGAAGTGGTGAAGGCATTATATGTCACATTGGACTGAAATAAACTTAATTGTATACAATTATCATGTTTATTTCGGTTATATCTGCTGAGTTTCTAGTGTGAATTGCGTAAAGACCTCCCCCCATCCCACACTCATCTACAGACAGGAGCATGAGTTATTCTCTAGTGAAACATAACGGAAATCCTAAGACCCAAACCATTCTTTTCTTGGAAAGTGGCATGTGCAAATGAGTCTAAATCAGTGTCAGGTGTGGAAAGAAAAGGGATGAAAATTCTACTCTCTTCCCGCTATAATTCAGACTGAGTTGAAATAGAACTACTGGAAATACATTCAGCGGAATAATAAATGAATCTAGGATTAAATTAGCTGAAACATGAAAAATTGTTTGAAAATGCTACCACATTATACAACTTAAAAATATACTTCTGCAGATAAAAATGTTGACTTACCTGTAAGCTCAATTGCTTTTTCAAAGCCAACCTTCTCCAAGTTATTGCCTTTCTCGACGTCACTTTTTCTTTTTGCTGATACAGTTACTGTAAAAATAAACAGCAACATATTCATGATATAATCAAAAAGCATGATAATATTTCAGGCTGCCTTAAACATATGGAAGGAAGCTAATATTATTTTCTTAATGTAACGTGTTGCTGCAAAATCGAGATATAAATTAAAATTATCACAATTCATTAATTATCCCTAAATTCCCTGTATCCTGCCATTACTTCAGCAAAACAAAAAGAAACAAACAAACTCCGTGGCCTGTAGTTCGCAAGCGAACTATACCGGCCAAGCGACCGCCGCTTGTCAGCGAAATTAGTGCCAACTTTAGCGGATAGGTGTAGCGTGGTCAGCGCAGCATTGCCACAACAACTAATTTATATTCCCTTTAAAAGTTTCCATTATGAGTAACTTCGGAGTTCAGCCACGACCCATAATTGAGCTGTTCTAGCGTGTAGTGCAATGCAATGACGTCAGCATTTTCAGGCTGAATGAGGCAGAAGGGGGCAAGTGGACCGATTTAAAGGTCTCACAACGGAGGAATAGTATGGCTGTACGGCGTGGAGGTATCCAACGGCAAGGGTCCATGCCGTTGGATATCCAATTTTATTAGTACTGCAGTTCAGTGGTGTATATATGTTGGCCATGTATTTGCCTGATGATGGCTTTTAATAGCCGAAACATGTAGCAGAGCCAAACTAGGCACTGACCTTGATATAGTTGTGTTGTGACGGTTTTAACAAAGAAGTTGGATGTTACTTTTATTCATTGTTAAGCAGGGTGAATGCAGGGGACAGTAGGCGTTGTAAGTAAGCAACAACTTAACAGTTTTACTTACCTTTGAGTTCAATGCCTTTGGAACTGCCGTTAGCTTGTCCGTCTTTTACATCACTGACTGAAATAAGAACAGAGAATAATATGTAACAGGAGTCTGGGATGTTTGGTTTATACTCAAGCCTGGTGAAGTATTTAAAAAAATATTTATACATATTTACATTAAGACAATTTAATACTTAAAACATCTGAGCTGTTACGTTTGGTGGGAAATTTAATCATCATTATTAATGAAAAACAGCTGAAAGTGAACATGGTGACTAAAAACAAACACACTGAAGGCCTATATTTGATTTGATAATTAAGGGCATTGTTGTGTCACAGCCATGTTCCTTCTCACTTCAGGCCTTATGTAAGCACAGGCCTTTTGCTACTAATGCATTGTTTTCTTCCTATTGTACACTTCTCATTATTACATACCATATTGTGCAGGATGGAGTTTCGACATCAAACTAAGCAAAAAGTACATGTAAATATGCACCATAAGTATCTTACTTATTTAATCCGTTCCTCTTATACCCTACGGTGTCAAGGTTGTTGTTTTTTCTTTCGTTTTGGTTATTTTACAGATGGCAGGACTCCTTGGATGAGTGATATGTACGGAGTTAACCTTGAGGGAAGAATATTGGATAAAATTTTGTATGAAGTTGATAGCAGTGATATCCCCCGATAATTACTACAGTCGGTTTTATCACCCTTCATGTGAACTGGTACAATAATAGACTCTTTCCACTGTTCATGCAATTTTTCCTCGCGCCAAATAGAAGTAATTAGCTTATGGATCCTTTTTCTTTCCCTCGCTCCCGCTTTAGAACATAAGGCTGAATTCTCTGTTTCATTTATCATTTTTATATACAGTAGGACTCCTTGGACAGGTGATCAGCTTGTCGCAAGGCCTCTACCTAAACACAGGACAACACGAACACAGAAAAATACATACACGTACCAAACATTCATGCTTTGTGTAGGATTTGAACCTACGACTCCGGCTTCCTAGAGAGCGAAGATTGTACATGCCGTTGACCGCTCGGCTACAGTGACCGGCCTAAGTAACTTCCTTATGAGAAACAAATGTTCCGAGAGCATTTGTTCTTTGTCGCATGACCGTAGAGGTCCAGTTGATAGCAAAGTCCGTGTTGATGTTCACANTTTTTTTTTTTGGTCAGCGCAACGGATCCCCACGCCCGTTAATCTCGGTTTTCTAGCAGTTCCTCAGTTATACTCATTAGGCTGAGTGGACCCCGTTCCAGACCCACTACTTCTCAGAAAATCTGGTAGCGCCGGGAATCGAACCCGGGACCTCGGGATTTGTAGCCAGGAACGCTGACCACTAGACCACAGAGGCGGTCGGAAGAACTAGACAACAGACTTAAAATATAAATAGCTATATCATGGAAGAAATTGAAACCAGCGACCTCAAGAATGTTGTCAAACCATGAAGAATTTCAGTCAGAACAGCCAGTGCCACTGCCTGGATTCGATCCATATATTTCCAGAGAGAGAGAGAGATCTTTATTTCGTACAAGGGAAATGAAATATTGAATTCCACTGCCTTGTGCACCAATGGAGCCATAATGTGACTAGCTGGACAAAAGAAAAACAAAGGATACTTTTGTACTAGTGGGTGAGCCAAGTAAGGTCAAAATTTTTTGCCATGTTATTCGCCACAATAGCGACGTCAAGCATATAAGTTTATTTGTAAAAACAAACCCTAAAACCCAATCTTACAGGACTGTGAGATGTTTATTTTTAAAAAGAGAACGAAAAGCCTAACTTCTCAAAATGGAACAGAAGGAATAACGTAAAGAAACAAATCCCAAAGCTCAATTCTCTGGACCTATTTGTTGGAGGAAATGCTACGGACAGACGCTGGGTCTTGTTGTTACAAGTAAACTTCTAAGGTTGGCAACACTACAACGGCAGACAACACGGCGTTACTTTCAAAGTTTCTTGCGTCACCAAAGCACTAAAAATGAAATTACTTACTCGGATGATCCTTTCGGCCCAGTTCAGTTTCTACCATTCTACGTAGTACCGAGATGTCGATATTATGCCCGCAAGTGTTCAGTCTGAAAACGAAACATTGCTACGTTAGCCAGTCAATAGCAGAAGCCTACAACCATAAAGTCACTCTTTTTGTTCATACTCTGTGCTCATGGATCTGTAGCAGTAAACTTGTAAAGCAAGGACCTTTCTCCCCCTTGTGTTAGAATTTTCGTAATTTGTCTGTAATTTGATTTAATAGAACTTTCTGAAATACGCTAGGATACACTCCTCAGTGCTCTTATTCTGTGTATGAATATTAAGCACTCCCTCCTGGAAAAGTTGGTAATTATTCCGAAGTCGATAAAATATCTGCTTTCATTGAAGCAAAAATTGCACTATAATGGTAGTAAAACTCTCCACTGGACCATACCCTCAACCACTTTAATTTGATTCACACTTCTCAATCTACTTACCTAAGATCTATCTGATGTTGTCACTTCATTCAATTTATGTGTCAAATAAGATATATTTCTTGTTCCTTCATACTAAATGCATGAATTCTGAACCGTAAGTAAGTAATATAAATTGTGAAAATCCTCATGAGACATTCAGTTCCATGTTTACCTATACGGACTTCACTATACTTTTCGTTTAAACACATTTTAATCAACCTAACTAGTTTCATGGGTATCCCAAACTCTAATAGAATATTGTACAATACTTCCCCCCTAACTGAATCATAGGCTTTCTTGAAGTCTACAAATATATGATGTACTGCCTAATTTTACTCCCATTTTTGCCCCCAGTATCTGACGAACGCAAAAGATCTGATCAGTAGTTGAGCTTTTTCGAGATCCACACTGATGATCCCCAATAATTTCATCCATGTATGGACTTAACCTCGAGAGAAGAATATTGGATAAAATTTTGTATGAAGTTGATAGCAGTGATATCTCCCCTTAGTTAATACGGTCTGTTTTATCACCCTTCTTGTGAGCTGGCACAATAACACACTCCTTCCACTGATCAGGCAATTTTTCCTTATGCCAAATAGAAGTAAGTAGATTGTGGATCTTAGAACGTAATATTTAGCCTCCTGCCTGAATAAGTTCTGCCGGAATTTGATCACTACCTGGCCATTTATACTGTTTAAATTTTACAGTAGCAGTTACAACCTCAAAAGGGCTACGATCAGGTATTAACGGCTCAGCTGTATGGATTTCTGTCTGCCTAACATCACTGACCCTATGTACATTCAATAACTGAGAGAAGTAGTTCTTCCACCTTTTCAAAATGTTGCGGGAATCTACAAGCAGATCACCATTCTCATCCTTCACTAAGTTACTGTTAGGTTGGTAACCCTTCTTAAAATAATGTATTCCTCTATACAAGTTTCTAATATTCTTGTACGTACTGTTCATAGAAAGCTCATCAATTTCGTCTTTAAGATATTCCCTCGTTTTATTCCTGAACTGATATCAGGCATTAATATCAAGTAAACTATAGCCACAGTCATTAGTTTTTTCAGTGCAGTAGTTGTTTTCAAGGCTCTCCTTAAAAGGACAATTACAATTTCAGAGAATATGCTGAAATTCACCTAATTATCCGCTAAGCCCGTGGTAATTGGGCAGATGTAAAATATTACGCAGGGAGTTATTATCAACGTAAACTTATGAAAACACTCACATTGCACGCCACTGATCTTCGCGTCCGAAAAACTTGTACTGTTCGCCTTGGAAGATGGAGAGGTTCGCACACAGTTGATGTGGATAGCGCGTGCCGAGGTACATACAACAGAATCCACGTAACACCTTCTCACATGAACTGCCGAAAATGTGGCACGCACGGCAGGGTGGCAGGTTCTTCATGAAGAGTTGCTGTACCTGTACAATTTTCGACTCATGCGAAATTTACGACTGCTTGTTTTTGCCCATGTTAAGAATTTTGACAGTGTTTTCTTCGGCAATTTGGTGAAGAGGACTTCCCTTGCAGCCGCGTGCTGTTCTCTGAAGAAGTAGGCCTCTTAATGAACGGTGTACTAAACGTCCATAAGAGGCATACGTATCTGGTACGATAGAAACCCGCACAATACAGTTTAATCCAGACATCAACAGCAGTTCTCAGTTAACTTCTGGGCTGGTATTGCTAGGGAATATTTCATAGGCCCACACGCTTTGCCTCATAGACTCAATGGCGCTGCATACCTCCAGTCTTGGGAGGACATCTCAACAGAGTTACTGGATACTATCCTGCTGGATGTTGCAGTAAATGTGCGGTTCAAGCGTCAAGGTGCCCCCAGCTCATTTCAATTACGGCGCCAGAAATTGCACTGGGACCACCTATACTGGTCGGTGAAAAGACAGGCGCGGATAATTATCTTGGCCATGTCTTTCACCAGACCTGAATTCCTTTTGATCTTTTCTTTAGGGGACATCTAAAAATGTTTGGTGTAGGCTTCAGCGGCGGATACTGAAGAGGAACGGCTTCATCGCGGTAAAAATGACTGTAAATCGAACCGCAGCTCTCCTGCTATTCTTCAGCGCGTCAATGAACCGATGCATCGTCGGGTCCAATCTTATATGGCAGTGGAAGGCAAATAATTTGGACGCCTTCTGTAGCCCTAACAACAATTTTATCCCGTGAATGCGACGCAAAGCTACACTTTTAATTAATTGTGGTACACACTCCAATTTTCTGTACTTATTTCTTGGACATTCTGTATATCCGTCACACAGAAACAAAATGTAACAGTAATAATTTATAATAACATTAATTACTTCACTCTATCTCTCTCTCTCTCTATGACTCTACAGCGCTTGGACCTTGGCCGCTTTTGAATTTCCTAATACTATACACGTTAGGACTCCTTGGACGGGAGATCAGCTCGTCGCAATGCTGCTACCTACACACAGAAAACACAAACACAGACATCCATGTCTCGAGTGGGATTCGAATTCACGATCCTAGTGTTCGAGCAGGCGAAGACTGCTCATATCTCAGACCGTGCGGCCAGTGTGATCGGCAGGTTACCCCACTACATGTCTCAGTTTTACAAGAAGAAGCAACAGGCCTGTAACCAGTAACACGGGTACGACTATTTATAATTGCTAACAGATGTCTGGTATAGGACCCGTGTTGAGTAACATAAGTAACACTGTAAACGGATGACAAGTTTGTCGAAAGGTAGTAGCAGCCGCAGTGACGAATAATTAAAAGGTAATTTCAAATTTCAAAATGCTCCTCGAATTCCTTTGAATAAAGAAATTTTCATTATACGTTGCGTTTTAACGGTTTCTTACAAAAGAACCTAAATTTCAAAGTTGAGAGAAATACGTTGGATTAAAAACCCATCGTTATTTGACAATGATAATCCGAAATGACGTTGATTCAGATATTTCACTCACAATTCCAAAACGTTTCTCCATGTACGAGGTAAATGCGAAATGTGGGGAAATAAACCTTGAGGATGAGTTCTATTTACCAAAATAATAAAATTTAATACAAATACGGTCTGAAAACGTTCACTTTCCGAGTTACAGAACTGAAGGAATGCATTTACAAGTGGTCAAAATATCGTTCATTATATTCAATACATGTTTGGGCACGTCTCATCATGTGCTGCCGAATTCGTTCAAAAATCGCGGGATGGTTGCGAACAGTCTGGCCGACGTTCACAATTCACTAATCAAGTGTTCCTTCGTCATGAGCACGAGCCTTTAGATATCCCTACAGGTAGAATTAAACCAGCCGAGCGCCGAGACCACGCATTGGGTCCTTATCCATCTACCCGTCGGTTATGATAGGCACCGCTGAGGACATGAAGCACAAAACGGCTGAAGTGTACTGCAGCACAATCATGCACGAGTGGTACATCTTCTAGCAGATCGGGCAAATCATGCAAGAGGAAGTTCCTGCCGTGGTCGCCTCTAATCCTAACTAAGCAAAACATGCTGGTCCACCAAATTATCACCAACAACTCCTGCCAAAATGTTAATGATGAAGAATTACTGTTCTCTAGGCTGGAGTACACCATGAGGATTGTCATCTGCCCTCTGGTGATGGTTTTGAAAATTTATGTCATCTGTACCAAAACCTGATTCATTTTGAAAGAACACTGTTGCAAGAAAGGGAGACTCAGCAAGTTGTTGAACAGACAACTGCCACATAATTTCTCATGTTGGAGAGTCGGCAAACTTGAGACCCTAGACATGATGTAAATGGTGTGGGCAGAGCAGTAACTTCCAGGCGGTCATATGCACAAAATTTAACTCCGTCGCCACTTGTCTCGTGTTACACGCAGATCCTCTTCAACATGCTCCTGAACATCTAGATGTCACTTCTCAAACTGACAGCACAAGGCTTAAATATTCCAGTCCGTTTCAATCGACGATCAATGGCGGAAAGTGTTACATGGTTTGAATGACTATACAGTCGGAAAGATTCCTGGCAGAGCCGGCAGCCCTCCTACAATGTCAGTTGCACGGCCGTAAATAAGATGCATGTTCACCAGTCTCTTTAAAGGATACCTATCATTATTGTAGTATTCACGATATCTTACAATAAGAATGTTAGGATTTGCTCTACATACTGTAGCATTTCTTCTTATGCAGTTCCCACTGTTCACAAGCAGTACACACAACCAACACCTCCAAATTCTGAAACTGGTCTGCAACCACTGACACTGATAACGATATTGAAAGCATATTTGAAGGTCAAATTTATACCTAAAGTAGTCTTTTGCTGTCCTACGAGAATGATAAGAGCTACCAAAGTTAAGAATATCAGTTTAAACTGTCACTAATTTTGCAGGGCTATAAATCATAAAGAAAGCTTTTGCGGACTCATTATATATATTGTAGCGTGTTTGTGTTTTTATTGTTTTGGTATGTCTGCACATTTCAGATTAAACCTGTATATAGTATATAAGGGAGGATAAATGAATCCTTTGCTTATGTCTGATCAATTACCTATGAAATTGACAATAATTACACCTCCAATATTAAACGTACATCCACAAGACACCCACCAATACTTCCAAGTGAAACTTAGGGCAACTGATTGCACAATCAGTGCAAATTTGTTA